GGGCACCAAGCAGGGTCTCAATATTAGCTGGAGCTCTGGGGCTTTACCATTAAAAAGTTAATAATAACCAGCCATATTTCAGATAAAATGTGATTTGCAGTTTAATATGCTAAGTAACAAAGGCTTTACCAAAAGAATGAACAATAGCCTTTTCCATTTTACAAAATGATTTGCCAGGCAGAATAAGCGCACCAGCATTTTTATAAAAACAAATTATAAATAATTGCTTTTTGCAATTTAATACACACATAGAAAGAGCCAAAAGAGTCCAGCAGCCACCAGGAATCTGATTTCATTGCCGATTTGGACTGTCTCTGTAGTTTTTATGAAAATCCCTGAAGACTGTGCTATTTTGTAAACTAAACATGGCTTTTTTTTTTTTTTTTTTGCTGGCCATGTAAAGTCTTTTTCCATTCATTAGTGAGCTGCTTTTTTTGTGAACACAATTAGAAAAAGGAATAAATCAGTCAACCAACACAGGACGTAATTTTGGCAATACCAGGCCGTCTCTGCTCTTATTTGCTTAACTGTATAAATCTTTCACCATACTACAAATGAGACCAGTTCCCCCAGTGTCGGGGTCAGGGGAAGAGATGGATTAGGCCAGATCCTGTGGATTTGATGGCTCCCACCGACCATGGCTGGTGTTGAGTGGTTTCCTGCATTATGGCAATTCAGCATTCTCACTACCGGGGAATCGCTTCGAGATATTTCTTCCGTTTCCTCTCTCATATTACCAAACTTAAGAAACATCACCAGAATGATAGCTTCTTGAGGGCTGTGTCTCTAAAGGGTTTTTATGTCCCTCCTTGTTCAAATACCCGCATGCCTCACTGGTTTTGGTGCAGTGGCCTTGCCATGCTCTAGGGAAAGGATTGTCTTTGTTGTTTCTTGGGCAAGGACATGAGGCATGCTCTTAACTTTTCATCTCATACCTCATGTTCCTTCTGGCACCCCCCAGCATACAGCCCACAGAAATGCACTTTCTTTTTGCCAGGAGAAATGAAAGGTTTGCTGGACCCCAGAGGCAGTGATTCCCTCCCTGGCATTCCCAGCCAGCTCTTACACTTGCCATAAGTATGGGTGCATACCCACAAGGGCAAGGATTTGTGATTAATCTGCACTGGAGCAGGATTTGGTTCATCTCGCTATTTTATTTTTTTTTTTTGTGTAGCCAGAAAGACCTGCCAGCTTGTATTCATAGAGGATTTGAGGCCTGAGAGATGCCCTTCATCTCTGGGCAGCACATCTGCACTTCCATCCTTCTTCAAGGCTCTTTTGAGGCTGTAAAGCTTGTTTTGACCCTCTGCAGACAGGTGACAGATCATATTAAGCTTCCTCTTTGAAAAAATACAAGTTGAGAGAAGAATTTGGGATTTATTTCCCCACAATTTATCCTTTGCCCAACTTCTTCAACTGCTGGTATTGGTGTAGGTGGATTTCCCCTCCCCATGAGTATGCTGGACTTGCTTCCCATTTCCAGTGATTTACAAAAGATTTCTACCCAAGTAACATAAACAGTTAAGTCTTTATAAATTTATTTTTTTTTAGTAAAGACGTTCTCAGGTTTCCCACTATGCTTTTCTAGAGATCACCAGATAAATAGGCCTCAGGAAAGATACACCAGGGAAGGGAACTATAAATACTCCCAAAATGTTGAGAATAATTGTCAAGGTTTAATGCATAGCTAATGGCCTAATCTGCAGTTTCATCACAAGACATGTAACTCCTTCTTTGCTTTCACCATAGTCCCCCTGGAATACCTGTCCATTTAAAGTTTATTTGTCCTACTGAAGAAAATTAATTTCCTATTCATAACCTATTTCTTCCCACTTTTTAAATTAATCTTTATTTTTTGAAGATGGTTTGTCAGTGACTGAGTGCTATCCGTGGTGTAGTCTATAACTGAGCCAGGAGGAGCCTTTAGATAAAAAAAATGCAATGCCAGCCTATGCCATCTGTCATCAATGGTGCATTGTCACTACATGTATAAATGAACTGACCCCTAGCTGGATGGCTGCAAATGTGATCTTCAGTGGGGTAGGTAGGAAAAGAGTTAATCTGTGTCATACTTTGATTCCTGAAGGTACTTTCTGACAGGCTTCTCACTCAGGGGAGGAGGGGGAGGATGATCTGCTTTGTGTCAATCATGCTGGTTAGTTTTCCATCGGTGCTCATGTTGCCACATTTAGCCCCTAGATCCACTGATTCATGGGGAGAGAGTCGAAGCTTCTGCACAAAAGACCTTGCAGGACGACACTGAGATGATTTGGGGCTGCTAACGTATTGACCAAGTTTGGAGAATACATCCTGGTGTCCTTGGGGCCAGGGCAGCACAGATATGGCTTGGCTCGTGGTTTGTAAAGATGGCTTAAAACTGCCAGTCTTCCCTTTGTCCTGCCCATGCCAAAGCACAGGGATGGGGAGACAAATGATCCTGCCCAAAGGGACTATTGCTGGAAGAGGATCACCGAGTTGGGTCCATGGCACTTTTGTACTTGCAGCCTGATTGGGAATGCTGAGGAGCAGGCCTGGGCACTGAGCTACCAAGAGGCATCAAGTGATGTACAGGAACTGTGTCTGGTGATTGTAGATCATTCTCCATGGTCACCTCCACACCAGGCACTGAGTTTGGGTCCCTGCTTCTTGGAATTATGTCTTTTGCCTGAAAGGCTGAAAACTAAACTCCAGTTTTTTCTACTCTGTTTCCCTTGTAAATGCCAGTAAAAAGAAGCTAAATCTGAGTGAGAGCATGTGGCTGGTTAGCTGTCTGCACTGCATGCCCTGGGCAGGACAAGGCTTGTATCTGGTGGAAAGTGGCTGCATCTGCAAGTCATTGCTTCCCTCAGTCGCCTTGTTGGGATCTGTTTTCAGTTGCTGCTGAGACAAACTCACCAGTCAAAATATTGACACTTTTCAAGTCCAAGGCAGCAACATTTCCTGTAAGTAGTGTTTTACATTGCATTTGCATGAGTTGCTTTTTTGATTGTCTCAAAACCTCCATAAACAGAGTTCTGTCATTAATTTTACTCTTCTATTCAATGCTGGTAATTTGTACATTGTGCTTGTCCAGAGCAAACCAGGGAGTGACAATGTTGGTGCTGTGCTGCAGAACATTCAAAGCGCAGGCAAATCCATTGTTTCATGCTGAGATGAACCAAATGTTGAGCACTGACACTTTGTTAGGTTGGGATACATGCTGGGTAATCTTCCTTCTTCGGTAACAAATATGATTTCTAGGGCGTTGTTAGTTGGGTCTGTTTGAGCACTAGTATTGCTGTAGGAATGTCATTCTTTAAAGGTGCTTTTTTTTACTCGTGCTCTGGCTTAGTTTGCAAATGGTTGTTTCTGTGCAGCCTCCAGCAATATGGTACCCACCCCTGGTGAAACATTAAACCTTTGGTCTTCTACCTACTTCACCGAAAGGTAGAGCCTGGCAGCCCTCACCAAATCCTGGGACTCTATGACGACATGTGTTGAATAAAAAGGTGTGCCCAGAGATCTTACAGTTCTCTTTTCCTGGGCTTGGTTGGAAACCTGGGAGCCCTGATAATCGCTGCGGATCCAAGCTAGCAAACATCTCTGTGTGTCCCTGTGTTGCTGTGCTGCATCAGCCTTTGTGGCGAGTCGAGCTTCCATTTCTGAACAGAGGTGTTACTAAATTAGAGGGACTGACTGACATGGTCAATGATGGAGCCTCAGGGTGGAGGGTCTGCATGAAACGTGAGGGCTGGATCAACCAAAACCTCAAGGTTTTCAACAAGTTGAAAGTGGCGACAATTTGCCCCAAGCCTGGGGCATAATATCCATCTGCATCAATACTGGTTGGGGACCAACCAGACATAGCAGCCCTAGAGGGAGGACCATGGGTGATAGTGATGCTGTGTGAGCCAATGGTGCTTGCTCATCAGGAATAAGGCAAAACAGGTAATGCGCCATCTGAGGAGAAGCATGGCCAGGACATCCAGGGAAGCTGTTATTCCCCTTTGTTTGATGCTGGTGAGGCTGACCCAGTGTTGAGTCTCCCAGTTCAAGAGGGTTGTGAACAAACTGGATTGCACCCAGGGAAGTCTACTGAGAAGGTCAGAGGTCTAGAGTACATCACCTTTGACAGAGGTGGAGGGAACTGGGCTTGTTCAGGCTGGCAAAGAGGAGGCTGGTGTACTCTAACAGCTACCTGCAACTTGAAGGGCAGATCCAGAGCTGATGCAGCCAGACACAAGCCACAGCTTGAGAAATTCAGATTGAACATTAGGAAGAACTTCTTTTTTGGATACTCAGGAAGAGGGCAAATCTCTTTTCTTGGGGATTTTCAAAGGTTGTCTAGAAAAAGCAACAGCTGAGCTGATGTGTTCAAGCAGGAGGGTAGATGAGATTCTCTGAGGTCCCTTCCTACCATCAGTCCTGTGATCCTACAAAATCAGAGCATTGGGATCTCTGCTTTCTTTTTCTTTTTAAAATAAAAATAATGCTCAACCAGACTTCCAGGCTTCAACAAGTAAGAAAACAAACAAATAAACCCCCAAGCAAAAAAGCAAGCAGACAAACAAATAAAACCCTAAGTAAACAAGCAAGCAAACAAATAAAACCCCCAAAGGACAAATGAGTCTTGTTTATTTAATTCCCCAGTTTGCAGTCAGCCTCATGATTTTTGTGGATTTTTTTTTATAAAGTTTTTTGGCATTGGCTGGTAATTTGTAGTCTGACTGGTGTCACATGTGACCATTTACTAGCTCAGTCCTTCTATAAATTTGCAGCACCTGGAAAAGGAGGGAAAACATCTCAGGTAGAGGTGAGCAACTCTAACTGCACCAAGACTTAGGCTTGTTCCAGGATCCATATAAATCTACTGTAAGAAGAACGAGGACTTAGATATAGCTGTTCTGCTGTAAGCTTCACTTGCAACCTTCAAAAATAAAATCAAATTGTCTTTGAAGAAGAATTAAAACAGTCATCTCTTGTAAGCCACCAGAGACAACTGAAGTGAAAGAAATGAAACAGTTAAAGAGTTGAAGAGTTTGTCACGTGCTCTCCTTCGGGGCAATGTCCACTTTCACTTTGTTGGGTTTCTCAAGCTGGTCTTTGTTGTGATGGTCCTGGAAATAATAAGCCCACCTGGGATGAGACTGAAGAATGGGATCTGTGGTTTGATGTGTGGTTACCTTTGATCCTGCCTGGCAACTAAGTGAAGGGGAGGAAAAAAGAAAGGAAAAAAAAGAAAGAAAAAATAAATTCCTGTAATGCTGACTCAACACCTTTCACACCGTAAGCTTTGAACTGTACACACAACTTCTGCACCTTACTTATGCTCTGTGTTCCCAGCTAGAAAGCACCTTTGTGCTTCGTGTCATTTTTCAGCTGATCAGCCTGCAGTAAACAATTCCATGAGCACTATGAATTCAAAAGCAAGCTCTGGAGGTGAAGAAGCCTCAGCAATGAGGACTGAGACCCTGGGGGAGAGCAGATACTCGGGAGAGGTCAAGAGGGGACAAGCAATCCTTGTTGCCTACCTGATTGCAACCCTGGAGCTCACCTTCCTCTTCATGCAGATGGGAGTCATGCCCGTAAGTATGGGTTGTTCTGCTTCACAGCATGTCTTCCCTTCAATGCCTGGCTATGTCGTTTTCCAGCAAAGTCAGAAGAGCATTTCTAGCAGGAGGGAGGAAAGTGTATTCCTACCTGTGACTGAGGCAAGCTGTAACTGTGTTCAGGGTATTCCTGGGCAGTAAAAGCTGGTTTATTATTTGTACTGCAGTAGTACCTAGAGCCCTTTCCTGGCCTGATGGCCCTGGGTGAAGCTAATGTGTTTGTGTCCTCTTGCTTGCAGTGGGAGAGTGACCCAAAAATCAGGCAGAAGAAATCTGAGAGCTTAATAAACCAGCTGTGGGTGGGAATTACTGCTTCTCACTTACTGAACTCCTGTGTCTGTTTTCATAGAAACATTTAGGTTGGAAAAGACCCTTAAGATCACAGAGTCCAACCATAAACCTAACACCACCAAGTCCACTGCTAAACCATATCCCTAAGTGACGCACCTTCGCAGCTTTTAAATACCTCCAGGGATGATGACTCAACCACTTTCCTGGGCAGCCTATTCCAATGCTTGAGAAGCCTTTCAGTGAAGACTTTTTTTCCCAATATCCAAAGTTAAACCTCCTCTAGTGCAACTTGAGGCTATTTCCATTTGTCCTATCACTTGTTACTTGGGAGAAGAGACCAACCCACACCTCTCTACAACTTCCTTTCAGGTAATTGCAGAGAGCAATGAGGTCTCCCTTCAGCCTCCTTTTCTCCAGGCTAAACAACTCCTGTTCCCTCAGCTGCTCTTCATGAGACTTGTACTCTAGATCCTTCACCAGCTCCGTTGCCCATCTCTGGACATGCTCCAGCACCTCAATGGCTTTCTTGTAGTGAGGGCCCCAAAACTGGACACAGCACTGAGGTACTGCCTCACCGGTGCCAAGTACAGGGGGACGATTTCTTCCCTAGTCCTGCTGGCCACATTGTTTCCAATACAAGCCAGGATGCTATTGGTCTTCTTGGCCACCTGGGCACACCGCTGGCTCATATTCAGCTGGCTGTCGACCAAAACCCTCGTGTTGTTTTTTTCTGCCAGGCAGCTTTCCTGCTCTTGTGAGCATCTGTATCTATAATACACCTGCCTGTCCAACCTCATCTCTGGTGAGCCTGTTCCTTCTGGGAGATCTCTTTGATGGTTTGGTATCTCCAGAGGCAAACTGCTCCCTTCTTCTGGGACTAAACCAGCCTGCAGTGCCCTGAGCCTGAAAGAGAGTTTCTTTATGAGAGACCAGTGTAGTTGATCATTGATCAGTTATGGGCGCTTTGGAGACCTTGGTGCAGTGCATGTAGGGAAGCAGGCAAGATTAGGGCACTTCTTCACCTTCTGAGAGCTGAACTTGGTTGAGAACTTTAAACAACTCTTAGTGGATGGCACAAAACAACAACAGGAATCGGAAATAGCTGTCCCTTGAGTATACAGTTGTTAAATAAAAAAAACACAAAAGATCATGTCTCTTTGAGGTGTGATTCTGAGGTTTTTTGCAAGCTCAGGTTGTGGATAGAATCTTAGAATGGTTAGAGTTGGAAGGGGCCTTAAAGATCATTGAGTTCCAACCCCCCTGATGTGGGCATGAACACTTCCCACTAGATCAGGTTGCTCAAAATCCCATCCAGCCTGGCCTTGGACATTTCCAGGGACTGGCCATCCACAACTTCTCTGGGCGACCTGTTCCAGTGTCTCACCAGCCTCACAGTAAAGAATTTCTTCCTAATATCTAATCTAAATCTTCCCTCTTTCAGTTTAAAACTGTTACCCCTCATCCTATCGCTACACTCCCTGATAAAGAGTCCCTCCCCATCTCTCCTATAGGTCCCCTTTAGGTACTGGAAGACCACTATAAAGTCCCCCCAGAGCCTTCTCTTCTCCAGGCTCAACAATCCCAACTCTCTCAGCCTGTCTTCATAGAAGAGGTGCTCCAGCTCTCTGATTGTCTTCGTAGTCCTCTGCTGGACCTATTCCAACAGGTCCATGTCCTTCCTGTGCTGAGGACTCCAGAGCTGGACACAGTATTCCAGGTGGGGCCTCACCAGGGCAGGGTAGAGGGGTAGAATCACCTCTACACTTCTTTTGATGCAGCCCAGGACACGGTTGGCTTTCTGGGCTGCCAGCATACATTGCTGGCTCATGTTGAGCTTCTTATCCACCAACACCCTCAAGTCCTTCTCCTCAGGGCTCCTCTCAATCCATTCTTCACCCAATACCATCTAGACTATAAGTAAAGGCAATATTTTGCCCATGCTATGCTTGCACTGATTCCAGCTTGCTCAATTAAACAACAGCTCCAAGACCTTACCACATTCATCCCCTGGTTGGTGCTTGGACTGCGCTGGGTGCAGAGTCCGGATGCAGGAAGGCTACTTAAAGTCTAGCTCATCTCCCTTAGCAGTAGCTGTGTATGTTCAGGTGTGTTGGACTGCAAAGGTAAAGGATGATTCAGATTTGTCACCTGGTGCAAAATTGATGGTTTTGGTCACATCCCCCTGATCTTCTTTAGTGGATGGTACAGGACAGAGAATTTTGGTCTTTATTGAGCAGATTTCATCTGTAGGTATCTGGAACCAAACGAAGTTGTTGTTTGGAGTTGTAGTCCTCTCCGCACAGACTTTAAGCTCTTTATTCAGAAATATAGCATACTTCATTTCCCCTGACCTGTTGTTTTGTGATGTGTGTTGTTTTTTTTTTTCTATTTTAGTACTTGGCAAAGAACCTAGGTTTGGATTCAGTAGGGTTTGGCTACCTCCAGACAACCTTTGGTGTCCTCCAGCTCGTGGGAGGTCCCATTTTTGGAAGGTAGGTGAGAATAATTCTCATGACCCTTTTCATAACTGGAAAAGACCAGACATTTTTATACTTTAATAAAAAATAATTTAGTTCTGCTTCATGGTCCTGTTGAAATGTTTGAAGATTTCATAAATGGGCAAGGGGGAAATAAATACTACAATTAGAAATACCACAACATAGAAAGAGCTTTTATATTAACTTAGGTATGTTTTAATGACACACATGCAAGTATAACAATATACTCGGAACAGGCTTAGACCATCACAGTCCTCAGAGCCCGAGTCCTAACAGCTTAATCCTGCAAACATTTTATAGCCATGTGTAACCTTAGAAACGTCTTGTGACCAGGAAACCTAAAAAAGGGGATATTTTTTGATGCTAAGTAGAGCTGTCAATGAAAATAATTGAGGGTCATGATATTTCTACAGCTGAATCTCACTGTATCTACATCAGTGTTTAATACAAAGCTAGACTTGTATAAATCTTTAAGAACTGAACTGTCAAAACAAGAAAAGAGTGGAAAAGACTCAGGTTTTCCTTCTCTCTACCCCAAGGGACACACATCTTTTTCCTAATGAAATGTAAATGGCCCAAAAAGATTCAAGTGGTGGAGGAATGCATTCCCAAAAAGTAGAAAAATATTGAAAGAGTAGGGGAATCCAGTGATAGGAAACTAAAATGAGGCTCAGAAAATCTAGCTTTTCTTCTCAGTCTTGCTACTGTTTTGGGGGGGGATGTTTTGTTTTGTTTTCATTGTTTTGTTTTTTTTGGGAGGTGGGTGGTTTTGTTTGGTTTTTGCTTTCTTCTTTTTTGCAAGGCAGAATTTTGTACTGCTGCTAGTCAGAAATAGAGATGGTCCAGCTCTCAGACCCAGTGAGTTGGGCTCCTTCTGAATATCTACTCCTCTTTTGGGAGCTAAGCACTTCTGAGAATCTGACTAGCACTTCCCGTGGCAGATAAAGGAGAGTGAGATGGCTGTGCAACTACATCCATTTGGAACAACCTGTTCAGTTCCACTTCTGACAACTTTGTACCATTTCTGTACCAGGTTTGCAGATCAATTTGGCACCCGAGCAGCCTTAATTCTTTCCTGTGCATCTGGAAGTGCCTTCTTCCTGCTCATGTCCATCTCCACCAGCATCCCCCTTCTCTTCCTCTCCAGGCTCCCAGCAGTGTTCATGCATGGGTTACCAGGTAAGCTCAGTCAGGGCTTTCAAAATTGCTTTTATTGCCTGATTCTTCTCGTTTTGCTCATGTTGCTGGAAGTCAACAGGCTCAACAGCATGAAGGAAGGCAGGAGGAACATTTGATGGTCATCAAGGATGAAATGGTGAGAATGTGAAGCAGTGGATGTATTGGTTATGGAAAGGAACAGGAAAACAGGGGTAGTAGCCCGTAGTCCCAGGCTCATCTTCCTGTATCATCTTGAGCAAATTGCTTGGACTTCATCATCCAGACATAGGTGACAAATCCTTGTGGGCAGCAGTGCTATCCCAAACTTCTCAGCTGCCTTCTTGTAACCAGGATGTTTTGTAGGAGGGCTTTTCCCTTTCTCCTGGGAAAATGAGCATATTGGTCAAAATGAAATGTGATTACAAAAATACCTTCCATTACCCACTAAGCTGTTCTGCTTTTGTTGGTCTTTCCTAGATGTTTCTAGTAAAAACTATAAGCGACCTTTAGCTACTAGAAGTCCATGTAACTTGTGCCAGAGGACTCGAGTTTACAGGGTGTTAAGCCTCTTCTTGAACTTGTGAAGTGGTTTGAGTTGTTTTGTTTCCTATAGCTGATGAGCTGAATCAATTCCACTTAGCAGTGTGCATGAACATTTGCCCTGGGGTTGCAGGGACTATTTTCTGGCAGGCACTGTTTCTGTGGCCTAAAAATTTGTATGGCTGCTGCTCAGGCCCTGTGGCAAGCTTCTTTCAAGGGATATTTTTTTTTCCCCCTGCAGGTGCTCAGAAGGTTATTACAGACCTGACTGCTCCTTCCCAACGTGCTGATGCTTTGGGGAAGCTGGGTCTTTGCTTTGGAATAGGTATCATCATTGGCTCTGCCTTGGGAGGTGTCCTCTCCACCAAATTTGGGTAAGTGGCCTACTTGTTTGGTGTTGGCCTTGTGGCAGCCATTGACGGGGTATTTTGTTTTCCCCCAGTTTTTGATGGTACCTTGCTGGCTGTGGCAGTAGAGGATAGTACCACAACTCAAAATTTCGCTTTCCATACTGCTACAAAAATTACTCCCACTGTTTTTAAGGAGACCTTGTTGAATATCTCACCTTCCACCTACTTAAAAAATTTAAAAACAAGTTGAAGTGAGAAATGGAGTCTGTCTCCTGGTTGTCCTCTCTTTGGAGCTGAGTGTGCTGAAAAGCAGTGTGCATAGCTGCATAACTTGCTTTTAAGAAACATTGTACAAGTGAGAAATGGAAATCTGGAGCAGTGTAAAATTCATGGGAAGATCAGTGTACTTGGGGCATGCTCAATATAGAGCAAGACCTTGGGAAAGAGGAAAGCAAGCTTGGGACAGTGGGGGAAAAGAGTGAGGAGGTCTAGCCCTATCACAGCAAGATAAAGCACATGCCTGCTGCTTCCCTGTTTGCTTTCTGCTGCCTGGCACACCACAGTGGTCTGCCACCTCCTCTTATGTGCTGTAACAGGAAAGAAATTTGCTGAATTTACCTACTGGTGTTCATTACTGGTAAAGGAAGCTCAAAAGCTGTGGTGTGGTGAAGAACTTTGCAGGTATGGAAGTGCACATGGGTGTAATCTTCCTGGTAGATTCCTGGTGGGGGAAAAAAAACAAACCACTTTGTGAACTTTTGAGTGTGTATTTTGTTCTACTTCTTGTATTATGGACATTCGCTTCTGCAGATTCAGATTAGCATGGAAATAACTTTATTTTCAACCTTTGTGAGTGTTAGAGCTCCTCCACAGCTTGGATTAATTAATTTTAATTTTGTTGGTCATTCCTAGATGTTTCTAGTAAAAACTATAAGCAACCTTTAGCTACTAGAAGTTCATGTAATTTGTGCCAGAAGACTTGAGTTGACAGGGTGTTAAGCCTCTTCTTGAACTTGTGAAGTGGTTTGAGTGGTTTTGTTTCCTATAGCTGATGAGGATTCCTATAGCTAATTAATTAGCCCCTAATGAGGCTAAAGGTCATTAGGGGAAGGTTTTCAGGAACTGGGCTAGTCCTGGAAGGGATCAGTGTCACTGGCAAGTGTCAGTGCAAGCCAGCTGTCTCCATTAGCCTGCCTGTGCTGCCTGACACTGCGTCTCACAGGGAGCCTGGGCCACCTTACAGGTATGGAGCTCATCTCTTCTCATCTGTACAGCGATGACAACTCATTAAAAATCAGTTTTCATGAACTTCAGGCAGCTAAGTCAAATGTCATTGATATTTTTTTTCATGGTCCTTGTCTTAGCACCATAAGCACTGCACTTAAGTACATGGCGTATACTGCATATGGTGATCATCATCACCTGGGCATTTTGGCAGTCTTGGGCCAAATTAATTGCTGTAGACAATCTCGAGCATTTTCTTCCTCTCTCTTGAAACGTAAAAAGGTTTTCCTTAATTCTTTTGTGGCTGGTGCGTGTTATGTGTTGGTCAATTGGCACAAGGGTGGCTATGTGATTCTTTTCGTAGTTGTTATATGGGTACATGAAACAAAAATTGGACATGTACATAGAGGTGTTGATGGTTGACTGGCGTTTTAATAAGTATTATTTTTAATAAAATATAGTGATTGTATCCCTTTTGTGTGTCAACTGCCTGAAAGTAAAGGTTACTTCAGTTCTCAGTCCATACTCAAACATCAACTTTCAAGTAGCATTGTTATATAGCAAACATTTATGGGGTTTCACTTTCTAGTGTGTGCATCAGTCACTGGTTTATAGAAAAAATCAGCAGTAGGAGAGAAGCCCCTGTTTCAGTTGATTAGTTCAAGACACTTGAACGCAGTCTGGCTTTTGGATGTCAGGGCTTGGTGCTGTCAGACAACAGGATGCTTCCAGACTCCCCAGGCTGCTGCTTATTTTGAAAGCTTCTGGTCCTTACATTTGCTGCTTGCAACGTAACACTGTGAAAAGTGAAAGTTGCTCGTAATTATGGGAAAGTAAGGGACCCGCACCTGAAAAACCACATAGCTGTTGTCTTTGCCATTGCAGGGAGCTGTTTCCCTTCCATCCGGTGGAGGGCAGCTTCGGCCCGCAGTTCATGCGTGGCTGCCGGAGCATCCCATCGCAGTGGTTTCGGGGCTGCTCTTCTGTCCTGTAGCAGGACTGAGGAAAGCAGCCGGGCTGCCGGCAGCATTTGGATTTCTCCATTCAGGATCTCTGCATCCCACTGGAAGGCTGGCAGGAATTCCCATTAACAAGGGACAAACCCCAGCCTGATGGCAGGACCCTTCTGACCACCCTGATGTGCAGAGAGTTGATTTGATTTTATGAATAGTAGCTCCAGGCTGAAGGGCTGAACAGGGAGTGCACCCTGGCTGTTTTGTAGCCACCTTTGCTCCAGCCAAATCCCACCTTTGCTCTGACACCATGCTTAGCTCCTCAGGCAGATTTCTGTGCAAAGATCAGAGGAGCAATCTACTGATTTTTAGTGTTTTGGCTGATAGTGGTGGTAAGCAGGAATTCAGCCCTGTGAGCAGATAAAGACAGCTCATTGCAATGGAACAGCTCCCAGAGCATCGCTAGCACCTCTGGCTGTGTCTGCAGCACTGACCTGCAGGGAAAGGAGTGGGTGTCTCATTATGGGTGTACCGGAGGCTCCTTGGCCCTGTTGCTGTATCCCACAGATTAACTGTTAATCACTGCTCCCTGTTTCCCACATTTGTACAGGAAGGCTCCAGCTGTACTTGGAGCAGCGTAATCACTTCCATTTTTTTTTCAGAGAATGACCCAATCTGCTTCCTTTGAAAATAAGCATTTCTGCTGTGTCATGGAAGCGCAAAGCTGGAGATTTCTGTCCACTCTGCATTATTCACTCTCCCTTACCACAAAGTTGGCCAGCGTTCCCTGTCTGTTGTTGACAGCATTATTCATATGTTAGCAGTGGTTTGTATACAAGAGAGGGGGTAGGAATCAGTCTCAGTTCTTTAGCTGATGTCATTTGGTATTATTCCATTGTATTGTATTTACCATTGATGAACTTGACATAAAGAGCTGGTCTGTTGTTGTTTTCATTGCTGGAATAATATTTGTCAACCCTTATTTATTAAGGGAGCCTCAGGGAAGTTGAATGGCTTGTTCTGATTTGCATAGGATTTTTTAGATGTCAGATCCCAACCTTTTCTCCAAAGCTGTAGCCACCAGCTCCAGCCCTTCCTCTTCCTCTCTCTAAAGTACCCCACTTTTCCCCCATGTTTTCCAAAACTTTGAGTGAAAATGTAGCAAAGGAATTGTGACTTTTAGTCAAACCTGGACACATTTAATCTGTGGAATGTGGCTTTGCCTTTTGCAATTAAAGGAGCTGCTCACCAGCAGGGTTCACCATGGCGAATTTAATTGCTGGTGACTTTGCTCTTAATATATAGTCTGGTCCGCTCACCTCTGTACAAACAGTGCATACAGGTGTGAAGAATATGCTTTCTGTGGGCAGGGTGATGCTTAGGCAAACTTATACCACCTGAGGATGAGGTGTAAGCCAGTTTATTAACACAAACTGTTGTAATCTTAACCGTTTGGAAAGTGTTTTCATGTTTATTTACCATTGATGAACTTGACATAAAGAGCTGGTCTGTTGTTGTTTTCATTGCTGGAATAATATTTGTCAACCCTTATTTATTAAGGGAGCCTCAGGGAAGTTGAATGGCTTGTTCTGATTTGCATAGGATTTTTTAGATGTCAGATCCCAACCTTTTCTCCAAAGCTGTAGCCACCAGCTCCAGCCCTTCCTCTTCCTCTCTCTAAAGTACCCCACTTTTCCCCCATGTTTTCCAAAACTTTGAGTGAAAATGTAGCAAAGGAATTGTGACTTTTAGTCAAACCTGGACACATTTAATCTGTGGAATGTGGCTTTGCCTTTTGCAATTAAAGGAGCTGCTCACCAGCAGGGTTCACCATGGCGAATTTAATTGCTGGTGACTTTGCTCTTAATATATAGTCTGGTCCGCTCACCTCTGTACAAACAGTGCATACAGGTGTGAAGAATATGCTTTCTGTGGGCAGGGTGATGCTTAGGCAAACTTATACCACCTGAGGATGAGGTGTAAGCCAGTTTATTAACACAAACTGTTGTAATCTTAACCGTTTGGAAAGTGTTTTCATGTTTGTATGCTTTTTTTTTTTTTTTAAATTGGTGTTTTCTGGTCTTTGATCAGTTGCATCAGGATTGTGGATATAAAATACTTAGCTTGAAAGTAACTCCTGTAGTTCAGCCGAGGTCTCTTCTTGGAGAGCCTGCAAACTCCATGACAGCTTATTCATAAACGGGGATGAAGAAAAAGAGCACTGTTTGCTCTCTACAAATGTTCCCCCCTCCCTGTACACTCACAGCAAAGCTGTTAGGGGACCACAGACTGCAGGTGAGTCTGTACCCCTGGAGAGAAGTGATTTGGTATTTGTAGTAGACTTCTGTGGCAGCGCTTTGGGTGAACAGTGAAAGAAGGCGGCTGGATTAGTCTTCAAAAGTGGAAAGATGAGCCTAGGTAACTAATTACAGAGATTTCATCCTTTCTTCTCGGATTATGATTAATTGCATTTGGCTTCTTTCTTCTTTCTTTCTAACAAGGACATACAGAAGCTGTGTGACCCAAGATTTGTTTGCTTTCTATGGACAAGGAGAGGTTTCTTCATTTTAGTGACTCAGCTGTAGGCTTAAATCTCTTGGAGCAATTATTCTTTTGAACTTGGGATTTTCCTGGCCAAACCCATTTGGTTTCTTATTTAATATTATTACAGCAGGCTTTGGGGATAGTTTTTTTTCGCTGGCTGTGCTATTATCCTTCTTCCTCAAGGGGAAAAGAAGAGGCTTGCTCGCCCGGAGTAGGGAATTGCATTTCTTTTCAATAACCCATTTGAACAATGTCCTCTGGCAGGGAATTTCTCATTGCTTTGCAGCAGAGTGGAAAAAACGT